AGGTTCAATCCGGATCATTGATTGACACCCCTATCTCTCGTTGCTACAAATACGACAAAGCTGATGGATTGGAGGAAGATTAAAAAGCATCACAGAGTGAAATTTTAAAATAAGGCTACTCCATAAATGATAACGGATGTGTTTTTAGGGATAATTTTTTTACTATTTTCTAAAACAGTTTTTTAATACAAAATTTTTTTAAAAGCAGCTTAAAAACAATGATTAAAAGCTGTCTCAAACGAAATTATAATCTCTCCCTAAGATTGCGAAACATATTTTTTATTATTTATTTAGCTTCTTATATATAAAATTTGTTGAGAATAAGTAGAGACCTATAAAACACCATATACACATTCACCAATTGGACATTCAAAACATTGACAATTGTTGATAAGTGATTTTGAACAAATCAAATTCTGATTTAGACTTTATTTATTAACTTCCAAAACTATATAAATATTTTATTAATTTGCATCAAATATAATTCTTGCTAGCTGTTTTAGATCAGTAAAATGCCTGAAACATTCAAAAGTCCAGCTGGAGAAACGTTAAAGTCGAGCTACTTTCCCTCAGATTTTTTGTTGAATTAAAATCAACGAATATATTTAAATCAAGCTTGGATTAAGAGAATATTAGATTGTCTGTAAATGAAGACGAATTTATCTTAATTAAATTCACTCAAATTTTGTAGAATTATTTTGTGCGGACACTGGACCGTCCGGAGGCAAATCAGAGCGTACCATGTCACCTGGTGCATCGCCGGTACATGATCGTGATACACAACAAAGGGGTGATGTGGCACGCTCTAATTCATCTCCGGACGGTGTCCGTATCCGTACAAAATAATTTCACTAAATTTTGCGCATTTTGAACTAATTGAAAGTTTATTTGAGGCATGAGTGAAATTCTTTATAGATATATACTCTCACACACACACAAATAAATAGGTTATAATGAGCCGTTCGATTAGACTATAAGCATATAAGATTTGAAGATAATTTGATCATTTAATTAGTATACTAAGGCTTACAAATATGCTTCAAGTGTTTGATATTGGTTCCTTGGGACTCACACCAAATCACATGTGGTGTTGATGAAATTATAAACATATAAGATTTGGAGAATGTTTGATCATTCAATTTATGTCTGAATGAAGGCCCACAAAGATGCATTAAGTTTTTTTTTTTTTTTTTTTTTTTTTTTTTTTTTTTTTTTGATATTTAGGCCAATTTAGGCAAACTCACACACACATCACATACGTAAGATTCAAAATTTTGGTTTCGATGAGAATGTTGGTGTCGGCATAGGTAGCGACAACAAACATCAAATGTAGGTGACGATGATGTGAGTCAACATTGATGATGATAACAAGAGTCGGTGATGATGATTGTGTAGGCGGCATCATCGTTAGTCAATGACGGAGGCTACAACGGGTGTCGGTTTAGGTAATGGTGACGGTTAGCTTTAGTTAAGTTAGTTGCATTCAACCTTATTGGTGATATTGTGCGTCAACAATCTAGAAGATAGAGAGGTTGATATTATCATTGATGACAAATGTTGGAATTATTGAAGACAAATGTGATTTTGAAACAATAAGCATCAACAATATCAACGTTGGCAAACATTGATGTAACTAATCACATCAAGTGTTGATCTTTTTTATGATGGTAGGTGTCGACCTTATTGATCTTAGTGGCAATTAATAATATATGCTAACATTGTTAGCGACTATAGGCATAACATTTGGTGGGAACAACAAATTTAAATTTTGTTGGTGATGACGAGCATCAACCTTAGTAGCAATGGGGAACATTGACGGTCATCGATCTTATTGACATTGGTGGATACCAAGACAATATAATCATTAGCCTTATTGGTAGCAAAGTGACTGTTCGTGTTGGTGGCTACAATGAGCGTCAATCTTACTGGCAATAGTGGACACTTGCCTTAGTGGATATGACAAATGCCAATTTTGCTGACAACAAGTGTTGTCGGTGGTTGATAATGGGTGCTGGTTTTAGCATGCAAAATTTTGGATTCTCTTCTTGTGAAGAAATTATTCTGTGTAGGGGTCGGACACAACTCCACGTTGGAGGCAAATTAGGTGCAGCCACGTCAGTAGTATTGAGTCGCAGTACCGAGCAGTACCGAGCAGTACCAAACAAAAGGGTAACGTGACACATTCTGATTGATCTTCGGACTACATTAGACGTCCACACAAAATAATTTTCGTTCTCTTCATTTCCTTGTGAATCCTTCCTTGAATCTCGTTTCCACCTTTCGTGAATGTATAGTAGTAAGCATACTTATAAATTTAAAAAGCGGATACTTTAGTTTAAAAGTTCATATCAACTATAAATTTATTGAAAAATAAATTCAAATGATTCATTGGTCAATTCCAAAATTTTTTATTTAAATACATGAATGCTTTAAGATTTGAAAATCTTTTCAAATCAAATATTTTTTTATTGGCTAAGAATATTCAACGCAACAGCTTGATGGGTTTATGAACCACTGCTGCATTGCTGGACAGCCAGTCTTGCATTAAGTATTTTTTTGATTAATACGGAATTTTTTTTTTGTCGACAGAGTCCGTTACATTTGTGGACAAACATAGCTGTCGATATTAATAATCATTTGTGCATAAATTATTGAAGGTTAACGGCGTTAAAAAAAATTATTTTCTTCCGCAGCACATAACTAGCATAACTTCACTAATGATTTCTACTCATAAAAAAATAAAACAATTGCTATTGGTCAGTTTGTACGGATATTAATATTGAAAATTTTTTTAAAGACATTTAGGTCATTTAAAGCAAATTCATACACACCACATATAGACTCGAACTGAATACCTCTTAGTTGGAAGTCTAAGATATCAATCAACATACCAAAATTACTTATTTTTACTTTTAGTGTGAATATATATATTAACTTTTATGTATTACATTCTTCCATTGTTTCTATTGCTAATGACATCCCACTAGCTCCTACGGTTGCAAGCGGTCATTTTAGAGCGAAATCATAATGTACGATAATCGAACGCTGTTCAGAGGCCAATTAGAACGCACCATAGCACAAATATAATGTGTACCGTTGTGTATCAGATGGCGTGGCACATCATTATTGACCTTCTGACCGTCCGGTGACTGCACGTAATCATTTCTCCATTTCCAAACATCTTTGATCTATCCTCACTCTTAATCTTCTCGAAGTCCATCCACATATGATGCAATCGTGAGCTACAGGAGCACCTGCGGAGCACCATACCTATCCTAATGGACTGATACGTTTCCACTACCCTTATTACTCTTTTAGTTACAAAAGTACTATTTTGCTTTTATTTTATATCTTTTTTATTTTAGCAATTTCACAGAAACTGTTTAGGATATAGCCAAAAGGCATGGGAGCAGCTTTGGATATTACCTTCTCTTACAGAAAAGAAACAGAGAACACCACAGTGCCATGTTTCTCTACTGTTCCATTGCCTTTGTATTTTCTTCTCCAGGTTGCAGTTTGGTCTGACAGCATCAACATAGCTTGCCTATTTTCAATCCCTCCCTATTTTACTTTTGTCGTCTTCTCCGCCAACTTTGCTCGAACTCTTCCGTCAGTAATGAACTTTTTGGAGCACCTACTGTCGTTCTCGACCACCCCTGAACTCTCGACATCGCACACAATCTTACCCAATTCCATCACCTTCCTCTCCCAAATCCTCTTGTTGCTAGCAAACTTTATCATACTCCCTCACATTCTAAAGACTTAATAAAAAAATATTATTATTAAAATGAATCATAAAAAATAAAAAAAAATATTTTAATAAAATTAATTAATATTCAATTAAAAATCACTACAAAAAGCTATCACTAAGTTAATTTTCGAGAGGGCTCTGCTAGGGTTTCTTCTCGCCGCCGCCAGGGCGCTGGTTTTGCTCTTTTTTTTATAATTCAAATATTAAAATACATTTTGAAATATACAAAAATATTTAGAAAATGGGTGTAACATATAGTTTATACCATATGAAAAAGAAACCGCAAAATTTCTTCAATTTCTAGTGACTAATAATTTCTAAATATATTTAATTAAAAGAAAATTTAAAAACATTTATAATTATTAAAAGAATAAATTTTAAGAAGGAGCACTATCAATTTTTAAATTATCTATAGAAGCGTATTACAAAAATAATTTAGAAAGGAGTAAATTAGCCAAATTTTTTGATGCATTTGCACCAAACAGTTGGCATTTTCAGAATGCACCAAACTGTTTGGTGCATTCTATTGAATACACCCAACTGTGGCGTAGTCTGAAAACGCCGAATGCACCAAATAATTTGACGCATTCTAAAGATTGCTACAATTGCAAAATTGTCACAAAAAATCATATATATTTAGAATTTGTAATTATTTGCGTTTACCTAGTTTTAATTATTTTTTACACATGCGTATTGCTTAATCAACTAATTACGATTGTAATGATGCTTAGAGTAAAATTTTGTCTGAACTTTAATAAAATTTTGCAACTGTGGCAGTCTTTAAAATGCACCAAACTGTTTGGTGCATTCAATAGAATGCACCGAAGAATGAACCGAATAGTTTGGCGTTTTCGGAATTTATGCATGCTTATTATTTAATCAGTTAATTACAATGCTAATGATGTTTAGTGCAAAATTTTGTCTGAATTTTAATAAAAATTTGCAACTATGACAGTCTTTAAAATGCACCAAATTTTTGGTGTATTCTAAAAACGTCAAATTATTCGATTCATTGTCTTGAATGCATTAAACAATTTGATTAATTTGATCTTTTTTAAATTATTTTTGTAATATGCTCATTCAGCTAATTTAAATATTGATTGTGCTACTTAAATTTTGCTCTAAAATTAATAGCAGCCGTCACATGAGTTCTACATTTAATTTCGTTGATATTATTATTATTTTATGAAATTTAATAATATGATTTTAAAAATAAAAAGTAGTGAATTTATAAAGCCCGTCTCTCTGGCCCGCGTCTCTGTCCTTCTCGTCTTCTTTCCCTTCCTCACTTCACATTTTCGCACGCGGGAGAACTTCGGATAGGAATCTCCACTCTCTCAAATGACTTTCTGAATTTGGATCCTCTCAATTTGGAGCGGATTAGGGCGATTAATCTCTGCAAACAAGCCGGATAGAGGGATTTCGGAGGCCGAGTAGATGATTCAGAGTCCGAGAACTAACGCATCGTCGGCGTTGCCGTCGCCGACGGCGGCGGTAGCGCCGGCGTTGGTTCTGTCTAACTCGGGGAAGAGGATGGAGAGCGCGGGAAAGAAGAAGTACGTGAAGCAAGTGACGGGGCGGCACAACGATACGGAGCTGCATCTGGCGGCACAGCGTGGGGATCTGGCGGCGATGCATAAGATCCTGAGCGAGATCGATTCGCAGATGACGGGAGAGGCGGGAGGGGAGGAGTTCGACGCCGAGGTGGCGGAGATCAGGGCGGCGATGGTGGGCGAGGTGAACGAGGTGGAGGAGACCGCGCTTCTCATAGCTGCGGAGAAAGGGTTTCTTGATGTGGTGCTCGAGCTGCTTAAGTATTCGAGCAGGGAAACCTTAGTGAGGAAGAACAGGTCAGGATACGATGCGCTTCACGTTGCCGCGAGGGAAGGCCATTTAGGTGAGGCTGGCTTTGATTTCGTGTTATTAAATTTGGTTTTTATTCTTCGAGCTGTAAAATTATCAATTCTGAAATCCTCATTTTCTGTCTCGGGTATATTTAGCTGTAAGACTGTTATTGATAAAATGTTACTACATCACGTTGATTGTGCCAATTTTTTGTTTAAAATGTACCATAGTTTCTCTCAGGCGATTTGCATTCATTGGATAATGAAATTTAGGACATCAAATGTTATTTCGCTAGTATGTGTTCTTCCCTACAATTAATTGTTCTTATAAATTCTAATGTTGAATTGATATTTCTCTGGTTATTTTACTTGAATCATAGTTTATAGTTCTCTTTGGCAGAAGATTTATGCTGACCCATTTACAACAGCAATTGTGCAGGCTCTTTTGGAGCATGATCCGACACTCAGCAAAGCCTTTGGTCCTGCAAATGTAACTCCTCTAATATCAGCAGCCATTAGAGGTCATACAGAAGCAGTAAAATTTTTGCTAGATCAGGACACTAGCCTACTGGAGCTATCAAAAACAAATGGCAAAAATGCTCTGCACTTCTCTGCTAGGCAAGGACATGTAGAAATTGTGAAAGCTTTACTTGGGAAGGATCAACAGCTTGCACGCAGGACTGATAAGAAAGGCCAAACAGCTTTGCACATGGCAGTCAAGGGCTCTAACTGTGAAGTTGTTAAGGCCCTAGTTGATGCTGATCCGGCAACTGTGATGTTGCCTGATAGATCTGGGAACACAGCTTTGCATGTGGCAACAAGGAAAAAGCGATCAGAGGTATTGCTTTAGGGCATCTCCAACCTAAAATCTCATTTTTCACTCCAAAATGCCGTGAAACTAAAAAATGTTGTCATTTCCAATCGAACTCCATTTTGCCTGCGTTTCTTCGGCAAGTTTGATAGAGACCAAAAAAATGGAGAAGATGAACAATCCGCTTGATTGGGGCGATGGAAGAATGGCAAATAGTTGTTTGCCGTTCCATTGGAGATGCTCTTAGGTTTCCTTTTGGGACGGCTTTCTTTCTACTTCTTAAAGTAGCTTTCTAGTATACAAATTTTAATTTTTTATCAGAAACCTGCTTTATGAAGCAGTAAGAGAGCCATCTCAAACGGGAGAAATTATTAAGTTCGGACACCGTACAGAGAGAATAATCCGGAATTTTTTCTGTCAACAGCAAAAGCATAGTTACTGTAATTGAGAAAAATCCGAATGAATCTTTCTGTCTAGTATTCGAACCTAATAATTTGCCCCCAAATTTAGCCTTATTCTCTACAATGGCAACTCACTACTTTATTTATACCATATGTTTGATTTGTAAAGCCATTAACTTTCTTGTTGCTTCTTCTTGCAGATAGTGAGCGTTCTATTGTCTCTCCCAGACATTCATGTAAATGCATTAACAAGAGACCACAAAACTGCCTTTGACATTGCTGAAGGGCTGCCTCTTTCTCAAGAGACCACTGAAATCAAAGAGATACTGTCACATTTCGGTGCTGTTCGTGCGAATGAGCTAAACCAGCCTCGCGATGAGCTGCGAAAGACCGTCACTGAAATCAAACAGGACGTTCACACCCAGCTTGAGCAGACAAGGAAGACCAACAAAAATGTCCATGGAATTGCCAAGGAGCTCCGGAAGCTCCACCGCGAGGGCATCAACAACGCAACCAACTCCGTCACTGTGGTCGCCGTGCTCTTCGCCACCGTGACATTTGCGGCGATCTTCACGGTTCCCGGCGGCGACGATAACAGCGGCATGGCGGTCACGATCGGAACAGGTTCTTTCAAGGTATTCTTTATCTTCAATGCAATTGCGTTGTTCACATCTCTGGCTGTTGTGGTGGTTCAGATAACTCTGGTGAGGGGAGAGACCAAATCGGAGCGGCGGGTTGTAGAGGTGATCAATAAGTTGATGTGGTTGGCCTCTGTGTGCACGACGGTGGCCTTCATAGCCTCCTCGTATATCGTGGTTGGTCGGCGTTCAGAATGGGCGGCCATTCTGGTCACTTTGATAGGCGGAGTGATAATGGCCGGCGTGCTGGGGACGATGACATATTATGTTGTCAGATCGAAACGCAGTCGGTCGATAAGGAAGAGGGACAAGTTGTCAAGGAGAAGCACTTCAAGCTCATGGCAGAACTATGAGTTTTCTGATTCAGAGGTCGATCCAATTTATGCTATTTAGTCAGGAGATGTCTCATTTAGGGCAAATTATTACGTTCGGTGTCCGGATTCGTTCAGACATCAATCCAGACGCATCACGTCACCAAAATACACCGGGTCTCAGTGTATTTGGGTGATATGACGCATCTGGATTGGATGTCCGGACGTCCGGTGACAGGACGTAATAATTCGCCCTCATTTAGGAGATGATACCAGAGGATGGAAGGAAGCCTTTATATATAGAATTTGTAGGTGAAGGGAATGAGAGCAGAGCCCTACAATGGGTACCCATACCCACACCCACCCATACCCAATGGGCATGAGTGGGTATGGGTATGCCCATAGTTTCGTGGGTGGGCACTCAACATCAGAGGATAACCGATTTACATTACTAATCATCATATACATGCAGTATATTATAATAATCCTTACTACGCAATGCGCAACACTGAACCGCGTCACAACCATGATAAATTTTGATATGTGGCTTGAAAGTTTGCAGTCAGAGAAAATGTCAAAAAACCTCAAGGCCATTATTCTATGACAGACTGCATTCCATAAGCGTGGAAAGTGGGTGGGTATGACATCCGAAAAATCACCATAGGTGGGTGTGGGTGGAAAAAAGCCCGCCAGCACAGAACGTGGGTACCCAACTAGGATCCCATGTAGGGCTCTGAAGGAGAGATTATTCTGTGCGGATATTGGACGAAGAGAATCATTCAATTTTTCTTTCTGTTTATAATAAAAGAACAGTCAAAGCATAGCTGATACAGTCACTGTACTTTGACTGTGCTTTTACTATAGACAAAAAAAACCTGACGGTTTTCTCTGTTCGATATCCACACAAAATAAAAAGTTGGAGGGAATGGGACTTGCATGGTTGATTGCTCTCCGTTTCTATTATTCTCTCTATGTATATTTTTCATATTGTGAACAATAATGAAAGGAATTGGAGAGGCCTTTTGCAATCTCTTCATAGATTTATATCTTTATATAGTAAAACATTATTTTTAATAAATTTAACCCTCACAACTTTAAAAATTACAGCTGGTCTAAATTATAAGCATTAAAGATTGGAGTCGCTATCTATATTTTGCTATTTTGTAAGTACGTTGACCGATTTTAATATTAAAAGCAATAATTTTATGATAAGAGTCAAAGTCTCTGATGTCAAGAGCCTTATGCCTCTTGCTATTATTTAAAAACACTTTGTTCCTCGTAGATACCTTCTAAAGTTAAATTAAAAAAAAAAACATATTAAATTTGGCAATCTTTGATCAATATTTTTCAATTTTATAAGCGTTAAAATGCAATTCAAAAGTGTCAGATGTCAAGAGCCTTATGCCTCTTGCTATTATTTAAAAACACTTTGTTCCTCGTAGATACCTTCTAAAGTTAAATTAAAAAAAAAAACATATTAAATTTGGCAATCTTTGATCAATATTTTTCAATTTTATAAGCGTTAAAATGCAATTCAAAAGTGTCAGTAGCTTTAATCTTAGTTGACTGGTTTTATTTGTAATGATTTTCTTACTGTTTTTTAAAGTTATTTTTTAGTATAAAAATTAAAATATTTGTACTAAAAAATTATTTTAAATAATAAAAAAGCCTTCCAAACAATATATATATATATATATATATATTTCTCTGTTATAAGTAGAATCTATTCTGTTTTTGACACCAAAGTCTAAAGCTAAATTAACAATCTAAACTTAATTAAAAAATTAAGATTAAACAAAAGAAAACTATAAGCAAAGGCCAGATCAGTCCTAATTGGATTGCTGACAACCTTACAATTGCAGGATCAAAACTAAATTTGTCACAAAACCAAGTGGTCGATTAACAATACTATAGGCATTATACATTTTTTAAACTTTCTTTAATTACAACAATAAAGTAATTCTCTTGCTTAACAAACTCATTTTCATCATAATTTTTTTTTTAAGAACTAAGAAATTATATAATCAAACAGATGTCCAGCAATTTATAAAAAAAAAAATTATGAAAAACCTACCACACGCTCTTACTCAACTGCTATCAAACTCTCATATATAAAATGTCAGACCAGTCCAGCCGATCCATGCGGGACTGGCCCAAGCGCAAATGAGACAAACTGATCCACGCGGGACTGGCCCAAGCGCAAATGAGACAAAGAGATCTTCAGGTGTTTCCTATCAAAGAACTCCATAAATGAAGATCTTCCCCCAAAATAGCGTGGAGATTTTCAGATGACTAAAATTTATCATTTTGGTATAAAAATCTGTCCAAGGATTTCAGTCGAATACAAAGATTGTAACAAATAAACATTTGTTCATGAGCAGGTACATCAAATACATGACATGCTGAAGAGATATTGACAAATTTTTTACACTCCATATTCCTTTTTTTATTATTATTTAACAGCCCCCATCATATTTTACATCATGACTGTAAACAGAACATAAAATAATGGAATGAAGATGGCGCAGATTTCAATCTCTTTGATTCCAAAACTATTTATCTGCTTCAGACCTTAGTTCCTCTTCAAGTTCATCAAATTCCCAAACCCCAACCTCTTCATTAGAGAAATCACTTCCAAAGTTTCCAAATTCCTTTTCGAATTTTGCGAGTTCTGATTCTGGATCATGTTGTTGTTCTGTACTTATAGATTTTAATTTGGAAGACTCGTTAGAGATGAACTTAGGTGATTTTGGAGACTCATTTGCCGATTTAGGTGAAGGAATTGGCTCTGCAATATGAGAATGCCTATGTTGTTTCTCTTCAAGAGCCTCAATTTCTAGTATTGGCCGCTCAGTCGAGTTAAAATCTGCTCTAATTTTCTCAATTTCATTGAATAATTCATTGATTTCAGGGTCATCTTTCCTGATTATAAAATTTTAAAAAAAATCAGCTAATGCATTTAATAAAATCATCTCTGCCAAAAAAAAAGATATATAAAACTAAAACAGGCGCATAAAATTGAAGAATTATCAATATTTATCATATAAAATGAGATAACCTGGATTGGTATCTTGGTTCTGCATAAAACATTTCTTTCATGTGATCGGCCAAACTGAAGGCAGTAACAATCTGAGGAGAAAGAAAAAAACAAGTACTAGTTAAAACAAACTATAAGGATCAGCAATTCAACTTTTTCAAGGCAAAGTGATGCAAAACTATTATGGTTTAGGGATTCGAAATAAAATTAATATGATGCAATGCATCACTAAATGCAAAGTAACTTGAGGATTCAAAGATCAGAAGCAATACTAGAATTAAATCTCAACTAAAAATAGTATGATAAAAATAATCTCAAAAATTCAGCGATGAATTAGAATCACAAAATTAGTCAGCAACTAGAACTTAATTTCCACATTGAATTTAAGACACCAAATTTGAACCAAATCAAGATAAATAATCAAGCCAATATCAAATTATGTAGATAAAATAAAAACAAGGAACAAAAGCATTAATGATAAGAAAAACTATGCCATGTTGGTACAGGGAGATAGACTTCTGTAGAATCAAAGAGTTTCACTTATATCATGATCAAAGGAATCATATATCTAAATTGCACTAACAAGACATAATTTTAACAGAAAGAGAAAAAATCCGTCACAACAATAATACAACAACAACAACATCAACTCTTTATCCCACAATGTAGGGTCGGCTACATAAATCTTTTTTCTCCATTGTGACCTGTTAAAAGTTAAATTCTCATTTAAATCTAATAAAGAAAAGGTCATTTCTAATATTTTTCTAATAAAGTCTTTTTAGGTCTACTTCTATATTTCTTAACATAAGTCAAATCTAACACATCTATTTTCCTAACCGGATCATCAGAAGGCCGCCGTTTTGTGTGACCAAACCATTTAAGACAACTCTCTCTAAACTTATCTTCCATTGGAGCTACTCACAACAATAATATTAATAGATAATTCATCATAGAAATCATATAATAGATAAGAAAACTAGAAAGAGAAATAATCCATCATAGCAATAATATTAATGGATAATTCATCAAAAATTGCTTTTTCAAATTGATCATTTGTTATCAACTACATCAAAGAAACATAATGGGCTCATCTTTGCATTCAGAGCAAAAGATTCAATTCATATTGAAAATTTAGATTCAATTATTCAAATCTGATCATATGCACTTTTGGTCTGAATGGGTTCATCTTCGCGAACAATAAATGTGTTCTGAGGTCCATCACAAGTTTATAAGTTCAGACATCATCAAGGCTCTGTATGGTTGCGCAATGCTTAAGCCCTTTGAGGCTTTGAGAGAGGGAGAGCTTGTGAAGGTCAAATTAAAAAGGATTCACATAGAAGATGCAAAATATACTATAATATATTGAATAAAAGGGAAGAATTAATTCAATTCAATAATTTTTATTAGCATAAACACAATTTATAATAATAAATGATTTTAGGAAACATATGAATTATCATTTTATTTCTAAATAAAACATTATTACAAAATTTGTTATTTTGGATAACTTCAAGACAAAACTTGAAAACAAATTAAATTTAAAGTACACGTCACATTAAAAAAAGGATTAAAATTGTACATTGGCGGGTGTGTTAACTACCAACGGAAATGAAATTCCTTTGTTGCGGGCCATTATTAGGCCTAAAAAAGGAAAACAATGAAACTGTTAAAGAGAAATGTTGCTGACTAAGATATGACAAAAATAGAAAAAAGAGAAGGAAATTAAAAAAAAGCGAGTAAAATAGAAGGAAAAAAAAAATCATTCAACAAGTTTTTTGTGACCATGGAGAACTATTTTGAGGAGCATTCGAGGGTTGAGGGATATTTTTTGGTATTACTTAAAAATCAGTTTAGGACAGTTGCAATTGCTTGTAAAACTAGATGTAGAACTATTGTAAGAAAAATAAATATTTTGAATTGTGGATATTTTAGACTTTTTTCCTTTAAAATAGTCAGATAATAACTTTCTTACAACTATCATATTGAAACAAACCTAATTATAAAAAATCACTTCTCAGCACATAAATTTTTTAAAAATAGCAAGAAAGTTCTAGTAAAATAGAATCGTAGTGCCTAGAAAACAAAGTTGTGAAGAAACTATTCCAAACAAACCCTAAATCTTATCTTCTTGGGTGAATTTTTTATATTTGGCTTGAGAGAAGTGAGATCTTAAGCATTTTCTTATGCCCCTTTAACTTATACATCAGTGTAGCTTTTTTATTGTAGATCATGTCCTCTTTTCCCTCCCATAGATGTAGATATTGTTTTGGCCAAAGCACACAAATCTTAATGTTCTTGTGGTGCTTGATATCTTAATTATTATTTTGTATGTTCATTATATTCGCTTCTGATAGGTGCTTCCACATAAAGTAGATTTACCCGAGAAACTGAAGTTGGCTAAGTTAGTGTACTGTGTTATTTCAATTCAACCATAATATCAAACTTAAAAACATATTTAAACCAACATTTGTATCTCCAAACTAGGGAAAATTATCATCAGAAGCAACATTAATCATCTTATCCCATCTATCTCAAGTCAGACCAAATCATAGGTCATACAGCACAAATAGAACAGTTTCAATATTTTATATTGCTTCTAGCAACTCTTAACACCAATATAGCCCAATTCGTGAGATGTAACCAATCACAAGAGATAAGAATAGTTTATTTTCACTATGTAGGTAAACCATTTTTAACTAGAAGTTGTGAAAACGAAATTTGACCCGAAACATAAAAGCGAAATAAGAATAACCTTTGAAAACGACAAACAATGAGAAAATAATAATTAAAAAGAAATCATGAAAATTTTCAGGATCAAATATAAAGTATAAACAAATGATAAATTCCTCATACAGCTACCTTCCTCTCAGCTTCCAAATATTCTTCCTCAAGAAATTTCTTTGGGTTTGTTTCTTTTAAAATATCATGATCACCATCTGACCTGCAAAAACACAAAATTAAGGCGCTTGAGCAATAAAGTGGCATCTAGCAAGCTCAAAGGTAACTTAAAAAGATATTCAAAAACCTTTCATTGAATTTCTTCAAGTTGTCGATAAATGTCCCCAGCCTACTTATAGAAGGCAGAAGTTCATCCTACAATGACCATTAGAGTAAAACGAGGAACAAATTCATTATGAAATTCATAGTTCTCTAGATTCACAATTAATCTATCAAGCACCTAAACTTCTGGAATGTTAGTATCATGGCGAATAATTGTAGTCATACTCCAGAACATCATGTTGGGCACTACAACAACAACAACAACAACAACAACAACAACAACAACAACAACAACAACAACAACAACAACAACAACAACAACAACAACAACAACAACAACAACAACAACAACAACAACAACAACAACAACAACAACAACAACAACAACAACAACAACATCAAGCCTTTGTCCCACTACGTGGGGTCGGCTACATGAATCCGTTTTCTCCATTGTGTCATGTTAAAAGTCAAATTCTCATTTAAATCTAATAAAGAAAGATCATTTCTAATATTTTCTAACCATGTCGGGTACTCGTCTTCAAATATTTTTAAAAAATATTTCAGAACTTCTTGTAAACTTGGACGCTTAGTGGACTTCTCTTGACACTTTTTGAACATCACAGTTCATCTATTGCAAAACATTAAAACTTCGGGAAGGTCATGCTATCATGTAAAACACTTGAAAACTCACACAACAGGACACCATGTCTGTTACTCCATTTGGAATGTCTCTTCTTTTAATTTTACAAAACAATTTCAGAACTTTTTGTACTTTTGGACACTTGGGGGCATCCACTTAGTGGATTTCTTTGGGAGGCTTTTTGGACACCTCCTTGGTGAACATATGCTGTAAACATACCGTATAAAAATTATTTCACTAACTAAATTTTACACTGACAATTATAATTTAGATTGTCATACCATCCTCTCTATCTAACACTCTAAGCGTATCCTTGGCATTTTTTGCTTTATCAATTGATATAAAAATATTACCATATGTTTAGATATGTATAATATTGCATTTATTTATGATATAGGTGCATGCGTACGTGCTTGTGTGTGTGTATCATGAGCCCTAGGTATCAATTAAGCAAATGAAACTCACCTTCAATGCTGAGAGCCGGAATTTGATCAACGTTGACAAATAGTTGCCCCACTTCTCCAACTCATCACTACATTAGTGGTGATAATAAGCAAAAGAAGATTCAAGTTAATATAAGTAATAAAACATAAAGTATGACTTTTCAATGAGTAACACAATAGCATTCAATCAACAATGGCAGTAACAAATTGAAACAAGTATCCAGGTATGTAATTACAATATTATCATTGTGGTAACCCGTCATAGAGGCATTACAACCAATTACATAGTATTCCCAGGTGAATGAATGGGAGACGAAGTACTCAGTTTGCAAGGGATAGAGACTATCATTGTGGTAAACCATCCTATTTCTGCTGGCCATAGTTTTGATACCATGCATTCTTACAAAAAATTATAACTGGTCATTCATTTTGATACTAACGTTTTTAAAAGAACAGGTGAGTTTGGTGAACATATATCAGCCTTGCTTTAGCAGTCGATTGAATGAGAATATTTTGAACATTTTTATTGTTATTTTAATAGAATCATCCAAAGCCGCTTATGAACAAAGTCGATTACAGGCCAAGTTATTCCAAGTTAAGTTCAACTCAAAGTCAGAAAATTTTGAGTTTAAGTCGAGCAAATCTCGCATGGACTTGACTCATTATCAAGCTTAGGACAAACATATGAGGCCTTTAATCTTTGAAATCTATAGTCGATGGTTGAAATTGACTTACACTGTGTGACAGGAAATAGATGCAATTTCCACCAAATCCACGAACCACAAGAAGATTTAGGGAAGAAGAACGTACCACGAAACATTTTATTGCAAAAAATATGAAAGAAAATAGCAAGATACAACAGGATCTTCAATTGGAGAGGAATATATGGCTCTCCCAAATCCCTAGCAACCGGCTAGAGCCCTCACAACCTAAAAAAACCTAATTTTCAGCAAACACAAGCATGAAAAAAAAATAAAAACACTAGCATAAACAAACTACTTAAAGCATACAAAACATAATCAATGTCAAAACAGCCCTCCCCCTCTTCCTTTTCTCTTTTAACCGGCCTCTCCTCTTTCAAATTTGGTGTGGGCGGGATTATTGTAGGCGGACGGAACATCCACGCGGAATTGATGCAAGCGGGCGAGACTTCCGCCTACTATATACGACTGCCGGTCCACGAAGGACCGGTTGGACAGGTCCAGGGAGGTCCGGTCTAACAATACCACCTCTCAAAGACCCACATTGTCCTCCAGGTGGAAAGATGGAAACTGATGCTTCACCCTCTCGTCCAACTCCCATGTGGCGTCATAGTCGAATAAGTTCTTCCATATAATCAACACTTTCTTGATACCTCTCTCCCCTTGCCGTACCCCTTTTAGCTCCAACGGAGCCCTATACCACCTCCAAATCCTCTGTCATTATCACGGGTAATTTTGAACTGGATGCATGCTCCCCGATGGCTCTCCTCAATTGCGACACGTGGAACACTAGATGTATAGCGGCTGTTGGAGGCAACTTCAATCAATAAGCTACTGCTGCAATTCTCTACAGTATCTCATAAGGAACAAAATACCACAGGGCCATTTACTCATTCCTCATGTTAGCTATCGTCCATTGTTTATAAGGACAAAGCTTCAAGTAGACCCTATCCCTATCTCAAACTAGATGTCCTTTTTGCATCCATATGTCTGCTTCTTCATAATCAGCTAAGCCCTCAATAAATGCCTTTTTAACTCAGCTAACACCCAATCCCTCTCCTCCAACTACTCATTGCACAAAGGTGTAAGCTGATTGCTTTGTATCCTAACAATTGGTGGTATTAAGATTGGTTCTCACAAATGAAGTCAAATTATTACTAGCAAAAATAGTTGATAGTAAGTGGACATTTTTTTGGATATGCTGTCCAAGCAATCATTCACTTCTTACACATAAAGCCAAAGAAAATGTGATATTATCTTGAGGAATGTGTACCTAGGAAGACACTTTGACATTCAAGCCATTACATGAGATTGAAAGCTTAGTAAAGAAGGCTGAATTGAGTCTTTCCCAAGAGGTTAAAAAAAAAAAAAACTTAATGGTTCCAGTCCTTGAAGGTGGTACTTATAGAGGTGCAGGTTAAGAGAGTATGGTACTTTTGGCAAGATGAACAATGAATGAAGAAAAGACTTCATTTCCAAGATTGGTGCTGGACAAAAATACTTCTAGCTAAAAGGCATCTTGGTCGTCCAATTGATCAAAGGGTTGAGGAGAAAGACACTTGTGTCCACAACACTTTGTCTCTAAGATTGATGTTGAACCATTCTTTCTCTTAGGGAAATGGATCAAAAATAGGCTTTGAAATATATGATTTTGGAGGTTGTAATTAGGCCATTGGATGGCTTTTAGATTGGTGTTACATGTGATAAGAACTTAATCATCTGATCTTAGTTGATGTCTCAAGATTGATGTATAATGCTCTGGATTTCATTGAAGGGCCAGCAGACATCTTGAGGTAATTGGATGTTGGTGATCTAAAGATACATTGCATTGTGTTAAAATTCAGCCATTCAAACGCAAATAAGATCCAACGACTACGGTTCATGATCCGTGGGATGCATGATTCATGCTAGAATTCTTTCCATGTTTGGGTAGTTGATTTAGGAAGGATTCTATAAGAGTTATTCTGTAATTATTTGTTTAGGTATTAAGATTTCTTGTATAGATCTATAAATAGAGAAGAAATCATGGAATAAAGCAAGCCCTTCTCAAACCTCTTCTTTTTAACACATTGTTATGCTCGATTTGCTAGGAGATAGCAGAATCATGAATCTTGGTGCCATGGTTTGGCTGATGAGCTTAAATGGTACTTTATAATTCTGTTATGTATTAATAGATATACTGGCTACTACTTAGCTTAGCCAAAGAGAAACAGGGAAATGAAGGCCACCCACGCATTAGACATGTTGATAATCATAATCAATGAAAACATAAAAGCAGATGCTGGAAACTAGGTGGCAGTGATGGTGCCATGAGTTAGAATAGACATACTCGGTTTGCTTCTCTTTCATTTCAGTGTATGATGACTGAAGAATCCAAGTATCTTCCAAGAAATTGATCCATGTACGAACAATATCAGCTTCTACTTTACATGATACAATAGATTTTGATAGTTCATCTTCCTGAGTTTCAACAATAATTACATTGAATAATGAATTTCAGAACTTTCGGTTTCGGTGGGGTGCTGGTGCACTCGTTAAATCTTGTTCGTATAAAGACAAAAGAAACAGATCAAAAGTATGCCTAACCTTTGATTTCAAGTGCAACACAATTTTATCGCTTGCTTCATCAAACTGGTCTCTTTCCTCCCTGGTTTTGTTAAGGCGTGAATAAGCAGCGTTTAAAGAAATAGTGACCTGATTTCCACAAACCAGATTAGGAAACTTTTTGTAGATATCAAAAGCAAGACAAAGCAATAGAGTCATAAAAAGAAAGAAAATTTCAAACCGTCTGTGAAACTTTAACTCTCGTTTTTATCAGTATCATCTCAAAACTGAGATGCAACTTTGTGTAACTAAGCTTTACGGCCACAGTCCTAACTAATATCTTTAAATTCTAAATAACCCTAAAGATGATAAAAAAAGACACAACGGAAGCAATAAGAAGGAAACAAGAATGGGAACTAATTATTTTCTAGGATAAGGACAAATGCTCCATGATAAAAGATAACAATAAGGTCGTAGTTTTACAACAATTGACCAATGGTAAACTTGGACGTAAAATCCAACTTAAATCTCACTTACATAAGCTAGTAACATTCTAGGCATGATTGTTGAGGAGACTGGAACAAAGAACAAGAACAACAATACAGTGGAAAGTGACCTTGGAGTAAAGATAGAATAAAGGAAGAATGGAGCGAAAGTAAGATGCTTCCTTTATGGTTTTTGCATTACAGGAATAATCCACAAAAAAATGCAACACTCAGATTAAAAAGAAACTCACTTCGTAAGCAACTAAAAAAATGTCTAAGAAATAAAAAAACAATTTAGGCTAATGAAAACCATATTCTCCTTTTAAATAATAAATTTGGAAGCAATATGCGATGCAAAGACCTTAACTTCTAGTGATTTATATAATAGATTAGATACTAAGAAGGACAAAGATATATGTATAAGTTAGCCAAACAAAGAGATAGGAGTAGTAAGGATTTAGTTCAAGTGAAGTGTATTAAGGATGAAGATCAAAAAATATTTTTCTTAGAAGATGATATTCAACAAAGGTGGATGAGATATTTTGCTGAACTTTTTAATGAAGATTGTGAAAATAAGATTGACTGTAGTGACCTTAGCATCTTAAATGAAAATAAAGATTTATGTTTTTATCGGCGTATTAGTAAAATCGAAGTTAAAGAGGCTTTAAAGAAAATGAAGGGTGGAAAAGCTGTTGGACCTGATGATATTCCCATAGCGCTGTGGAAATGCTTAGGAGATGAAGGATTTCTTGGCTTACTAAACTTTTTAATACTGTTTTGAAGACTAAAAAAAATGTCAGATGAGTGTAGAATGAGTGTGTTAATTCATATTTTTAAGAATAAAGGTGATGCACAAGATTGTGCGAATTATAGAGGAATTAAGTTAATGTGTCATACTTTAAAACTATGGGAGCAAGTTATGGAGCATAGGTTGCGGCGTGATACTAATGTTTCTCAAAATCAATTTGGATTCATGCCGGGTAGATCGACTATGGAAGCCATACATTTATTAAGAGGTTTGATGGAGAAATATAGAGAAAATAAGGAGGATATACATATGATATTTATTGATTTAGAAAAAGCATATGATAAAGTCCCAAGAGAAGTGCTATGGAGAGTTCTTGAAAAGAAAAGAGTTAATAACGCTTATATTCAAATCATTAAAGATATGTATGCAGGAGCTATTACTTGTGTTCAAACACAAGGTGGTTTGACCAAGCATTTTCCTATCTCAGTTGAATTACATGAAGGATCAGCCTTAATCCCATATCTATTTGCTTTAGTCATGGATGTTCTCACTAGATATTTGCAAGAGGATGTACCTTGGTGTATGCTTTCTGCTGATGATATTCTTCTTGTTGATAAGACTAGAGAGGGAGTTGAAGGTAAACTTGAATTATGGAGGTCAACCTTAGAGTCTAAAGGTTTTCGCTTGAGTAGATCTAAAACGGAATATATGGAGTGTAATTTTAGTAGTAATAGACCTAGTGAAGGGATTGTGACTTTGGGCGATCAAATCATTAATAAGAGTACACGTTTTAGATATCTTGGATCTATTGTTCAGAGTGATGGTGAAATAGATGGGGATATTATCAGCAGAATTCAAGTTGGATGGTTGAAGTGGAGGAATGCATCGGGCTTGTTATGTGATAGAAATGTACCCCTCAAACTTAAGGAAAAATTCTATAAGATGGTAGTGAGGCCTGCAATGCTTTATGGTGCCGAATGTTGGCCATTAAAAGAGAAGCATAATACTAAGTTAAGTGTGGCAGAGATGAGAATGCTCAGGTGGATGAGTGGCTTTACCCTTAGAGATAAGATACGAAATGAGCATATACGTGAAAAGGTTGGACCCACAAAAAAAAAAAAAAAAAAAAACCACCTAGTTTTCTTTACCGTCTTTCTTTAACTTTTTTAATATGTTGAGTTGGGACTTAATGAGCAGGATAGTGCGCACCTTCTTCAGTTCAGCCTCAAGTTGATCCCTTTGCTTTTCCAATACGGCAATCTCGGCAATCAATTCCTGAAACAAGTAGAAGAAGATCTCATCAGTCCACTTATTCAGTTCTCAAAGTAAACAAAAAAAATCTCTTAAAACATAAAGAAGCAATTTTTTTCTCAGATATAAATCAAGCCAATAATAGACAAAGAGAACATATATTACCTATAGGCACTATTTTATTGCAATAAATGGGCAGACACAAATTAAACGTTTACTTCTTTGAGAACTTTTAGGTCTTCACATATGTGGTAATTATCGTTATTACCCCTGTTCGATAGTATTTTTCAACTGTTCGTTTCAAAACACTGACATTGTAATTTTAATGCTAAAACAATGGGAAGGAACTTCTTTCCTCTCTCATTGCTTATATCAGTCAAGACTAACCACAATATCTTTAATCGGTTTCTATAAGCAAATGGAGTGGGCTCCAAAAATCTGCACCCTTTTCATCTAAGAGAATTTGATTTCAGGTCAAAATTTCAGAAGTTACATTCGATTGTAGATAATACCTACACTTTACAAGGACTTTATGATATGTTTCCTAGTTTCCCATAGATGTACGCTCATGTGATTAATTATCCCTTCCAATAACGAAAAATAACTTTTGATTAAGGCTAGTCATTAAGCGTCAAATGCTTATCGTCTAGTAGCATTTATTTTGATTTTAGGATTGAGGAAATTAACAGTAGTTAGCTTAAAATGAATTTTTGAAGGGGTGTGGGAGTATAATGACGAATTCAATCAAGATCTCATACTTATGTTATTATGAACACAAAGTAGCCAACCAAATATAGATTCTTGTCAGCAACCATGAGTTATGCCATCCCCCATAGATCTGGGTAGGTATTTATTTAAGAGTACAATTTTAAGTTCATCTTAGGTAACAAATGGCAAACATGATTTGAGATTTGGAGCCATTGAGAAACATGCGGGCTCTAGTCGTGATCATAATTTAATAACATTATTTTGAAGCAAAAACATCAACTCAGAGAGCCCTAATCATCAACCATTATTAAGTGGTGCCACTTATAGCAAAATCATCCGATGAAAGGACACATGTTAAGTCCTTACTGACATGAAATCTTTTGAGAGGACTATAATGATATGCTTGATATGACAATGACTGTTTATAAATGGAAATTAATCTTAAAATTTCCACCCTCAACAAATTGTTGTGGACGATGGTTAGAGCAATTAATTCTGATTGAGAAATTTTCTAAATCTTTAAAAATATTAAATTTTTTATCAAGATTTAAACCCTGAATAATTTGCTTTAGCGTTTGAGTGCATTTTGGCAATAGCATCCCCTCCAATTGATGATTGCTTTAAACAAGGTCATCATTGAAATGGGCTATTTACACTCTTGGTATTTGTGATTGAGAATTTCATTTTATTGAATAAACTCCTCTAGTTATGATGTATGATGATTACGCCCATCATACGAGTCATTTGAATGCTTGCATTTGGTTGCTCGAAGCCCCATCTATTCTGCTTCTTTGCTTATAGAGGATTGAGTTCAAATGCTACATATTATTTAGGTTTATTTAGACATTCATGAACTTATCAACTCTATCGTGTATATTTATCAACTCGACCATGTATTTTTGACCTCGTGACTATACCTTATAGGTTTAAAACTTAGAATGCATTTTACATGTGAGTTTTCATTGTAGAAAGCCATGTGAGCCTTATATCTTATAGTTTTATAATTAGTGTAGATAGATGTTTGTCAAAAAGGTTTAATTTTTGTTAACTCCAGTCTTAAACTATGAAGGATTAGACTTGAAATATTGGACTTATGATCCTATCCTATAAGCAAAGTGACCTGCTTGAGAATGTGCAAACATATTGATGAATTTGATTTTTTAAAAGAGTTTTTGCAAAATTTCAAAATATAATTGGATGATTTTTCAAAGCAATTGCATGGTTCACAAGGACAAACACACTTTTCAAAATATCTACATAATTTGTGAGACATTGTTTTTAAATTTAAAGTAATTTTGTGATATATGAATCTCCTTCCAATTATTTGAGTATTTGGTTGCTAAAATGTGCAAGCATTTTCATTTTGAGTCCACATAGCATTCTATCCACTTGCATTTAGAAGCTTACAGATCCCATTGTGATTGTTGTGATCTAGATTCTTATTGAGCAGTCAAAACAATGCATTAGGTTTCTTACTTTTTCCTCCATTAATGTTAAATGTTCAATGACTGTTCATGTTCATCGATGAATTTTTTAAATTCATTGCAAGTCCCTCGTAAGTCCTTGTGTTGCATTGAATTTCATTCTATAAGATATAAAATATATTGCTTCTAAAATTTCATTTATAGTCTTTGTTCTCATTCTTGCAAATTTATATTTTTCATTTATTCTCATTATAGTGTGATTGTGTCTAATAATTTATCTTAACTTTGTTCTTTTTAAGTTCACTATGTTCAACTTTTGAGAACCTCCTAGAATGTACCCCCTATAAAATGCATCTACAGAGAGTGTTAGGCCTTTCCCATCACTCTTTAAAAAATATGCATGATCGATGTATACAACACCATGGTCAAGGGGCCTTCTAACTCACCATTCTTAAAAAAAATGTGCATAAGCCTTCAACACCAACATGAAGATGTAAACGGAATTCCTCATCATATTGGAACAATGCGTACGATTACTTGTTGTTTACAAATTTTCCCATGATGTTGGAACAATGGGAAAGAATACTTAATTTTTGTGGCTTTTTTTGCACTATACCTTACGCAATGGCTACAAATTAGCGAGATAACTTTTGTTGCGAGATCAACAATACACACTCTCTTTTAAATAGTTTCTTCTTTCTCTTCTTTTTGTTTTATTTTATTTTTGGAGTAATTGAGAGAGAAAGAGAGGCCAGTGTCCTTGGGTAAAGAGATAGTGAAGATAATGGAAAGTAGAGAGAGAATATAGAGGGATGATTAGACAAGGAGAGGTACCGAGATGGGTGAGATCAAGAGATGGGTGAGGGTCATACGAGTAATTGTAGGTAGTAATGTTGGAAGTTTTGAGGATGATGATGATTTTGATTGTCAAGTTTCGAGAGAGTTGTCGATCAAGGCTTTAGATGAGACTTGCATCAAGACAGAGTGGCATTGATGTGGAGAGAACATGCCATAAGAAATAGCTCAAGTGGGCAGAATAGCGATGTATGTTGAGGCTGGGTGAGGTGCGTTACAGCATCAAAGGTTAAAATAGAGGGTTCAACGATGTCAAAATTGGCATCGGTGGTGTATGGTTGGAGACTTTGAGCTATCACAAACTTCTCTCCTTTAGATACCATCGGCCTCATCAAAACCTTCACCAAAAGCTAATGTCATGACTTCCTCGTTGCTTTGTCATAGAGGGCATCAACAATTTGGGAAGGAGCGACGATTACTATCACCAACATTTGAGGTATACATTACTATCAGCAGCATTTGAGGTATACATTACTATCAGCAGCATTTGAGGGAGATATAGAAGGAGAAATGGATGGCCCGCTGAGATTTTCGAGTTTTGGGTAGGAAATTCAAGGGAAGGAGTTCGATGCTAGGAGTAGTCATGGTGAGAGACGAGCATGCAAGCTTGGGATGATGGAAAATTGAATGAGGACGGCTTTTGCAACGTATGAGAAGAGATGTAAGTGGGAATTGAAATGGGAGACTAGAGAGATCGTGGGAAAGTCATGGGGAAAAGGGAGTTGGTTACAGGATTATGTGCAAAATTTTATTATTATTATTACAATAAATTTTAGTGACATATACACACACAATAGAAAATATTTTTTATTTTAATTTAACACTAATTATAATTTTTAATTTAAAATATAATTTTAATTATATAAAAATTTGCTTCGAGCAACATTTGAGTTTTGTTCTATTCCTTCTTTGTTATAGTTTTGGCATTGTTTTATTTTGATCCTTTTTATTTATATTTGTAATTTACTTTTATGATTAGTAAGAAGGGTTTGCTCAGCCTTTCCCTTAAAAAATGTAAAAAGAAAAAAGCCCTATGAAATGTGTTATACTACATGCACACCATCATGGCTTCATGACCATATTTAGTTGCAAGACAACTCATCCATCTCTGTGTAAAAAGAGGTGGCTTAAGTTTGACAAAAAGCACAACGTGGCAACCAAATCTTACAAATGAAGCCTTCATTATCCGCATGAGTTTGCTAGCCGTGCAATTTTTCTTTAGCATAGCCAATAGCTCATGAGAAAATCAACAAACCATTAAATGGATGCCTTAGTTCTCTTCATGGATTTACCGTACATGTAAGTTGATGCAAATCGACATTTTAAGCTTGATTTTATTCTTAATTGATATTATTTGTTCTTTGATTTTCAAAATTTTTTATTTTAGTGTCCCTATACAAAATAGTCAAGAAATTCCAACCTGCTACAGCTGCCAAAACAAAGCTCCCGCCAATTGCCCATCGCCACCTCCACTCATGATCACTGCCCATAACTAATACCCATGGTTGTTGCCTCCATTTGCCCTTATCCGCATTGCAATGAATTTGAAATATCTCATAACAAGAAAAAGCATTTGATTTGTATCCAACTAAACAAATCTAAACTTTTCTTAGAAGATGATATTCAACAAAGATGGATGAGATATTTTGCTAAACTTTTTAATGAAGATTGTGAAAATAAGATTGACTATACTGACCTTAGCACCATAAATGAAAATAAAGATTTATGTTTTTATCGGCGTATTAGTAAAACTGAAGTTAGAGAGGCTTTAAAGAAAATGACGGGTGGAAAAGCTGTTGGACCTGATGATATTCCAATAGAGGTGTGGAAATGCTTAGGAGATGAAGGAATTTCATGGCTTACTAAACTTTTTAATACTATTTTGAAGACTAAAAAGATGCCAAATGAGTGGAGAATGAGTGTGTTAATTCCTATTTTTAAGAATAAAGGTGATGCACAAGATTGTGCGAATTATAGAGGTATTAAGTTAATGTGTCATACTTTAAAACTATGGGAGCGAGTTATAGAGCATAGGTTGCGGCGTAATACTAATGTTTCTCAAAATCAATTTGGATTCATGCCGGGTAGGTCGACTATGGAAGCCATACATTTATTAAGAAGTTTGATGGAGAAATATAGAGAAAATAAGGAGGACCTACATATGATATTTATTGATTTAGAAAAAAGCATATGATAAAGTTCCAAGAGAAGTGCTATGAAGAGTTCTTGAAAAGAAAGGAGTCAATAATGCTTATATTCAAATCATTAAAGATATGTATGCAGGAGCTATTACTTGTGTTCAAACACAAGGTGGATTGACCAAGTATTTCCCTATTTCGGTTGGGTTACATCAAGGATCAGCCTTAAGCCCATATCTTTTTGCTTTAGTCATGGATGTTCTCACTAGACATTTGCAAGAGGATGTACCTTGGTGTATGCTTTTTGCTGATGATATTCTTCTTGTTGATAAGACTAGAGAGGGAGTTGAAGGTAAACTTGAATTATGGAGGTCAACCTTAGAGTCTAAAGGTTTTCGCTTGAGTAGATCTAAAACGAAATATATGGAGTGTAATTTTAGTAGTAATAGACCTACTGAAGGGATTGTGACTTTGGGCGATCAAGTCATTAATAAGAGTACACGTTTTAGATATCTTGGATCAATTGTTCAAAGTGATGGTGAAATAGATGGGGATATTATCAACAGAATTCAAGTTGGATGATTGAAGTGGAGGAATGCATCGGGCTTGTTATGTGATAGAAATGTACCCCTCAAACTTAAGGGAAAATTCTAAAGGATGGTAGTGAGGCCTGCAATGCTTTATGGTGCCGAATGTTGGCCAGTAAAAGAGAAGCATAATACTAAGTAAGTGTGGCAGAGATGAGGATGCTCAGGTGGATGAGTGGCTTTACCCTTAGAGATAGGATACGAAATGAGCATATACGTGAAAAGGTTGGAGTAGCTCCAGTAGAAGATAAGATTAGAGAAAGTCGCCTTAGATGGTTTGGTCACATAAAACGGCGGCCTTGCGATGACCCGGTTAGGAGAGTAGAGGTATTAGATTTGACTTATGTTAAGAAAGGTAGGGGTAGACCTAAAAAGACTTGGTTAGAAAATATTAGGAATGACCTTTCTTTATTAGATTTAAACGAGAATTTGACTTTTAATAAGACACAATGAAGAAAAAGGATTCATGTAGCCGACCCCACGTAGTGGGATAAAGGCTTGATGATGTTGTTGTTGTTGTTGTAAACAAATCTAACAATTTTTAAATTCATGCATTTAAAAACATTCAACCATTCTTCAATTTCAATTAAAGTAAATGCAAATAATTTCTCTACCTTTATCCCCCCCCCCCCCCCACACACACACACCCCACAAAGACAAACCCCTAATTTCACCTTGCTCCAACCATAGGTTTGACCATGATATCCTATCTCTCTCTCTCTTTGTGCAAAGCAATGCCCTAAAACTAGAATTTTTTGTGTTATTCTTCAAAACCTCTCTCTACAAACCTTATTTCTACAGTGCTTTCATAACCAGAAATGCTCGTGTTATCCTTTAGAACCTCTCTTCAAAGTTAATATATGTCAAGATATAGTGTTCACCTTTGCATCTAGAATCTCGTGTTTTCATTTAAAACCTCTCTCTGTCACTCACATATATTCTCATAACCCCCCCCCTCTCTCTCTCTCTCTATGACACTTCTGCATTACTCTTGCAACTAGAATCACATGTGTTGCAAATTGAGATTGAAATGAGCAAACTTATAATAAGACTAGACTTGGTTTGAGATCATATGGAATGATTTCGAGCTGATATTGAGCTAAGCATGAAATCAATTCAAAATCAAACCATTAAAAGCCCTAATGGAAATAATTATCTAGATAACGCAATGAAATCCACTTAAGAAAATAAATTTGTCATGCTCTTGTTACTCCTTTCCCCTAAAAATCACTTTAAACTTTTTTATCTTGATAGAATTTTGTAATCTACATGGGAGGCAAGTCTTCCCTCTCTTTCTATGTGAAGCACTATACTTCAAACTTTACATCAAACAGACAAAGGAAATAGTTTCACAAATTTACCTTGTATTTTTTTATTGCTGCACTCCTAAAATGCATGGAATTTGTTTGAATGCAACCAAAGAGTCATTAATGCTGTTGACGCTAATTAATATGAGCATCTTCTAGCTACACTACCAATCGAATTAGTACTAATCCCAATAACTAGTGGCTGACATTTGAAGTTGAACTCCAGCCACATTTGAAGTTTAACTCCTATTGAAACATTGAAGATGCTCCAACTAACTTCATGATTGAAAGCATTGACAAACTTTTCTTTGACTTCATTTTTACCAAATTATGTTTGGGATTTTATTACCAAGAATGCTCTAACATCGCCTATTGATCATATTGTGGCTCAATAAAAAAAATTAAAATAAACATCATACTTTTCAGAAACTTTGATTAGTCATGCGTTTGCTACTCAGAGAATAATTGGATGGAAAGAATGGTAGAAACTTCAAATATAAATCCAGTATTCTGAAACTCCTTTTCAAATAAACTGCTCACTTGATTCTTTTTGGGTTTGGACCCTTGCTCCAAGAAGACTGCAAAAGCATCAAGCTTGCTATGACTGGCTTTACCAATGGAAATTCCTAAACCTGGTTGATTGTAGAAGCGACGAAGATCTAAGAGATTTGGCTTGGTACAAGGATGATCTGTATGATAAATAATGTTAACTGTTACTTTCTTTGCACTTCCCAACTTCTGCTATTGCGTGTTCTTACATTTTTTAATTTTATATTCTCTTTCCTTTCTTGACTGAAGTGACTATTTCTGTTTTCCCAAGAAATGGGCGCAAGGCATTGCTGGTTCGTTTAGAAGCTTTAATCAAATAGATAATAAATAAAAGCACAAGTTTATGTTTAGCAGAATCAACAATGAACTATAGTGTACAAATTTTGAGATCTCAATTGAAAACAAACATCAACAGTATCTAGGAAACTAGAGTATTCCACCAAAAATGCACCTTTTCAATTTCATCAACTTCATTAGCTTTAGATGCACGGAAATTCAACGCCTCTTCCTTCTGATACCTAGAACATGCAAAAAATCTTTAGAGCTTAGGTAGTGCCAACAATTTGCACACGGAGAAATATGTATTACAAAATTTTGAAGTGCAAAACATGTGTATGTGCCGTAAACAAGAAATAAAAAACCAACTAACGTTCTTGTCTCAAACAAGTGAAAATTCCTAAATATTAGGTACATACAAGAACCATGTAACATGTTACTGGAGCCGACAAAAGAATAGAGGCAATCCTAGTGCAGGTGCTTGTCACTGCTATAGTCAAAATTTATTGCATGAACTGAGAACACTATTTCTTTTTAACCGCTATATATTTCAAACTCGACTTAAAATTACTGATAAGTCGTATCATCATGAAAAAAAGAATTAGAAAGGTCTAGATGATAGCCTTTGACACCATCGTTCAACAGTTAAAAAATCTTTTTGTCCAAGAAATTTCAAAATTTTCCTTTATATAGCATGCACAGGAAAAACTGCATTTGCAAATCCCAAAACTAAATGAGAAAAGATTGAGTTTTATATTAGATTGACAACCACTTATAAAACCTAAAAAAAATAATTGTTAGGGGGCAAGAACTTGGATGAAATACATCATAATCTTGAAAGTAAGTTCCAGGTAATGAATTAAACTATTCTAAACCATTATTTGTGCTAAAGGTCTTTGTAGAAGCATTAAAAATTAGATTTTGATAAGATCGTGGAACTGTTGAAATGTCCCAAGCAGTTTCAACCTTTTGTTAGGAGACAAATCAAACAAACTCTAAAGTGGTCATGAAATATTAAGCGCCTTTTCGGAGTCCCAAATATGGCTAAATCGAACAGAATGTATATGGTGGCTTGTAAGTAACACGAGATTACAGGGAGAAAAATTGTTTGGAAACAAAGCAATTTTAAAATGAAAAATGAAGGGCAGCTTTATTCATAAGTAGAGTAGTAATGAAAAATTTTAGAAAGAGAAATAGGATGTTCTACCAATTCATGCCAAGGAATAACGCCATTGGGAACAAAAAAAGTGGAGTTTCCAAATAAGGCTTGAGACCTTTGAGAGTAATCCAATAGGAATATGCCATTACACGTCCTAGCATAACAAGATGTACTCTGATACAAATGATTTTCACAATAGGAGCAATAATATTTTGTTAGTCTATACTATTGGAGTAATAATACTTTTGGAAGCGTTCTTCTTTATATAAACTTAAATCCTGGTTAAGGATTTTGATTCATTTGTATGTGTTAAAGGAATGTCACCCTGGGAAGTAGAATCCCCCCCTCAGTGAATTAGATTGGAAAGAACTATTGAAGTAATAAGACTTTTGGAGACGTTCTTTATATAAACCTAAAGCAGTGGTTGAGGATTATGATTCATTTGTAGTCTTTGATAAAGAAATATCTGGAAAAGGTGTAATCATTTTCATACTCTTATTTATATCAGAATTATCTAAAAGAATTGGTAAAATTACTAAAAAATTATCTTCCACTACTATATACTCCTGTTCTCCCTCTAAAGAGAAATTTTTTTAAAGAAATGATCTTTAATAAAGCTTACTTCAATACTTCAAAAAATCTCTTTGTGATAGGATTAAAGTATTTCTAACCTTTTTTTATTAGATGCATAGCAAAGCCCGACGCATTTTTCAGGTTTAGGGCCAAGCTTTGTCCTAGAATTATATGGCATGTGCACATAACAAATGCAGCAAAAAATATTGAAAGCAAGGTCAATGATCCGAGTTATAGGAAAATAATTTTTGAACATGTAAAGATGTTTTAAATTTCAAAACTTATGATGGCATTACATTGACTAGATACAAGCAGTTAAAAGAACATTTTCCCAAAGCTATTTGGGAACAAAGCATGAAATTGTTTTTTTCTTTTGCTTATACCTTTTTATCATGTAGTATCATGATAATTTGATTGATGAATAACCCCTTTTTTCAGAAGGAATATCCCTAAATTTTGTTTGAAATACTCAATACCATTGTGAGCCCAAAGAATGTCAATCTTTGACTGAAATCGATTTCAATCGTGAGAAAAATTTCTTTAAATTTATGATCAACCTTAAAGTTTTATCCAACAAAGAAAACCAGCATAATCTTATGTGATGCCCAATAAAATTTACAATTCATTTTTTGACAAATAGTTTTTTGACGTCTGGGTGCAATGTTAAATAGGCAAGGGTTCCCACATCATGAACGGATGTGGGTAAAGAAACTAGTCCATGAAACTAAAATTAGGCTAGAAACTTGGAATATGGGTTCCTTTACAGATAAATTATTGGAATTAATAGATATTATAATCCATAGGAAGATAAATATTCTATGCATTCAGGAAACTAAATGGGTTTGAAAGAAGACTAAGGAGATTGACAATTTAGAATTTAAACTATGGTATTTTGGTAGGAGTCGTACTAGAAAGGGTATAGATGTGATTATAGATAAGAGTTTGAAGGATAATGTTATAAAATTAATATAATTGGAGGAATGTGATAGGGGTGTTATCACTTAGTCTTTTGCATCTTGGTTTATTTAAATAAATTGCTCAATGCATTTCTTCCAAAAAAAAAAATTAAACCAGTCATCTTTTCCTAAATAAACCTTCTTAATTCCCTCCTAATCAAATCAGTCATCTTTCCCTAAATAAACATTCCTAATTCCCTCTTAATTTAGTCTTCTATGGTAAGTAATTAATCCCCTTTGAACCCCTCTCTCCTTTCCCGCCATTCCCATTAGTGAGGCCCACAGGGCAGCCCATCACAACATATCAGAAACAGAATAAATTCAGCAACCTAAATATTTGTACTTAGAAGTCATGTCCCAATAACAGTTCTAATTCAGCAGGGGTAATGGGTATAGGAGTTGGGGACCTTGATCATTCGGCCAAATCAATCACATAAATGGGCCCAATATTGACATTGTTTAAAGACATTTATTTTAGAAGTCAGAAAAAATGTGATATGGATAAGATAATAAGTCACTACAAAATTAAGATAATCATCATAATTAGTCATATCCCAACTATTTGGGTTGTCTTTATAATTTTCATTTTCTATCAGTTTCTGCCAAGAGCTGTTTAAGGTGTTAAACATATTCTTTCCAAAATCATTTTGAACAACTTCTATCTATATTCTATTAATCTATACATTGTCCTTCCTAATCCTTCAAAAATAACATAATCTTCTTGTGTATTTGATTCATTTTGAAATCTTTGTCGTGCATGTCCAAGTCATAGCATGTAGAGAGTAAGGTGTTAAAACAACTTCTATTCACAGTACCTTAGATCTAGTCATTTTCATTCCCAATCCTTTAACAACTTTAACTTTTGTCTAGTGGGTGAATTTTCAACTCTTCATTGTGCATGTCCAAACCAAATCTATTTTCAACCACCTTATCTTAAATAGAAGCCGATTCAACTAAAACTGCAATATCATCATTCTTCCTGCCTTAAGCGTTAACAAAAATAAGATATAACATGTTATATAGCTAGTTTCTAAAAGCATTTCGGTAGCAATTAAAAGCTTCCAATCCACATTAACTTTCTAATATTAGCAAACTATGAACAAATCATTAAGTTAAAGATTCTAGAGAATGATATCTTTATATAAAATCTGACCATTTCCTTCATCGATTTTCTCTATTTCTATATCATTCACATTTTCCACAATTCCTTCTTCCCCCTCCGTGTAGTTATTTTGTATTTCACTTAATAGTCAACATATGCACATTTAAAGAGAAAAATAAAGATAAGAACCAATATAAAGTCATTCGTTAAGACGTCAAAAAACCAAGCATAGCAGTGAATGGAAAGAATTGAGCCATAACATATAAAACATAGAAAGGCCAATAAATTTAGTAGAAAATGAGAAAAAATAGTATTGTTTGCAATTAAATAATCATAAAAAAGAAATGAATAACAGGAAAAAATGCAACAAGCACAAACATTTAATTATTAAAATCAAAACTTATGGAGTATGCTACAGAAGAAAAAAAGATGTTGCAATGAAAAATTAATATAACTTGTTGTCTAAAATGCGCTTTTCTGCCTTTGAGGACGAGTTGGCCAAGGATTCAGCCAGAACTTTGAGCTTATCGACCTGCAAATTAAGGTATACAATCATCTAAAAAAATTATGAATAGAAAAAGAAATCACTTTTTAATAACAAAGAAAAAGCAAATTCATGAAAAAAATGGTGGATAAAAATTTTTATCTGGTAAGATCTATTATCTTTAGTCATTATTTCAAAGAAGAATATTGCGAGGCTAAGAAACAAAAGTGTGTAAACCAAGATTAAGTTCCTTCTAGAATATTAAAATTTCCTAAATTTTGTTCCCTCAAAATCTCTCTTTGAATTCTACGGGTAAGTGAGCGAATGATGGAACGCTAGCACAGTTAGGAAGGAGTCATTGAGTTTGAGCAGCAGTAGAGGGGTGTATCCCGGAGCAAACATTTGTTAGTTACAATGAACAGAAGGATGGGCATACCTTGCGAAAGAATAGAAATAGAAAGGAGAACAAAAAAATTTAGAGGGTCCTCATGGTCCTTTGTCACTAGCATTGGTTTAAAAAGAAGTCCAGAAAACATTACGCTGATCAAAAGTATGCAACATTATATTACAATAAGGAGGTAAAAATGGTATCATTTGTTGAAATAATTATACACATTGTCCGATAAAAATTCTTTAAATGTTTGAATTACAAACAGAAGGTCATAGCACGTCTACGAGTGAGATAGGCACTGTATTTTCCAAGATATAGATACTAAATACTTTTTAAGTTCGTAGCTTCTCAAGAGAACCTATGCAGTTAAAGCTCAATTCCACGCACCAAGTACCAAGAGTACTACTGCTCAATTCACAAGCATATAAATTATTTCAATGAAAATGAGGTATAGAGACAAAGTTCAAAAAAGGAACTTAATAGAGAAGCTAGCTATATAGATTACAAACCTTCAAGAGGTTATCTATAATGTTGTAGGTGAAAATAAGCTCTAATAGTTTTTAGCTCCTTGGATCAACAAAGGTAATTGGAATTTCAATGGTTCTACTCAAATAGTTGTAACAAAATCCTCACATACCATTCTTTCTACCACAAGAGTTTGGAGTTTTAACAAAGTCAATCAAGAAGGTAATAGGTACTAACTTTACAAATCAATTTACTATTTTTCGGCTTTATATCAAAATAAGCAAATTCAAAATGATAAGATTTTTAATCATAATCTAATGAAGTGAGATATAGCAAAATTTGTAGTTAATCTTTCGTAAACTTTCTAGTTTCCAAGCCCATTTCCTTTTTAAGCAAACATCTACTCAAAATTGACTGATTAGAATGATGATCAAGAATAGTTACCTAGAATAATGTGGCCTCTCAAAATTCATGCTACCAAGAAATTTCACCCTCATTTTAAGACTTGATTTGAATTCTGGTTTCTAATAAGTGTAAACCCCTATAGTTAATTACCCCTTATGATAACGAGAGAACTTTCGATTAAGGCTAGCCGTTAAATAGGTCGTAATAATTACCTAACATATAATAACAGTGATTTTCATGTTTGAATTTGGTTTTGGATTTTGGAGTTTATTATTTGAATTTTATCAAACCATATACTTAAAGCGAGTGATGGCGGAATGATGACGGGCCCGATTAAGATCCTATGTTTTCGCCATCTCGGGCTATTATGATCCTTAATCTACTTAGTCAGAGGAGGTAGTTGACCCAACCTGACATAAGGAACCTTATTGACAGCCATGGATTGCTTCATCGAAGAATACCCTATAGATCTAAGGTGGATGTTTGTCAACTTTAGTTAACAAAGGGCTTTAAATCTTATAAAGTGTACCCTATAATTCATTACTCAATGGACTAATAATTAGGGAACATATGGGTTTTAGTCATGACCGTAAGATAGTGGTGTCATTTTATAGCAAAATCACCCCGTCAGAGGAAATGTGCCATGTCCCTATTAGCGATGAATCAACTGAGAATGAATTGTAGTAATACATTCCACAAGATATCTGCTCTTTGTGGCTGAAGTTATTCTTCAATTCATTATCCTCGCCAAACCTTTGCGAAGTGTGGATGAATTTTAGTTTTGAGTTTTTGTTGATTAAATTTCCATTTAAATGTTTAGAATTTGATAGATATTAAAATTTGAAAATTTAATAGGCTTTGAGAATTGACCCTCCGGTTGAGATTTACATTCAACACAACAATCATTGAGGTGTTTGAGCACTTCTAACAAATCCGCGAAGCATTCTTAGATCTTGCATTTAGGAGCTTGACGTAAAGATTGGAGCACATGCGAAATATTTCATTTCAAGAATTTAAACTATTGGCAAGATTTGAATTTAGGTTCTGAATGAATGATTTTAGACTTTTGAGGGTATTCTGAAAATTATATAGCCCTCTCTGATTAAGATTTCCCGTGTTTGAGCACTAGCAAATCCGTGAAGCATTCCCAAATCTTGCATTTAGGAGCTTCAAATAAAAATCATAGCACATGCGTAGCAAAAACAGTGATGATAGTTCTATTAAACACGTATGAGAAGCCATCAATGTTGGACTGGGTAACACTTGTTTAACAACCTAAAAGTTTCAATACTTTGGATTTCTCATTGTTAACTTGATTAAGCCAACTGATTAAGCAAGTTGAATAAATAGAGCATAGGATGACGACATTGAAGGTTGCCTGTGTAGAATAAATAGTTGAATGAATTAGAACCCATTTAAGCGACAAGCAATGCTGTTTAGACTAGTTGTATTTTATTAGACATGTGATGAACTAATCAAGTAGTTTCAACCTTTGCTTTTATAAAAAACTTTTGGCAATTGTAAGTAATCTATGATGGTTTTTTTGCTAATCATTCAATCCAAGAATTGTTTCTTGTTATTAAAAAAATGAACCACTTATTATGATTACACATATATTCCGATCTTTAGAAAGCTTCCACCATACACAAATATGTTGTATGAGTACCAAGTGGATGACTAATCTACCGTTGATCTCCTACCCCTTCTCCTATATAAACCATATGTTCTAGTGTCTAAGGGTTATTGTTTCTTTGAGTGCAAAATCTTAATGAATTATGGAACTACTTAATTCTTTACAAAATTTAACACTAGCTTTGATTTCCAGTATATTAATTTTCTCTAGGTTGGGAGACTTGTCTATACAAACAACAAATAGGGCCCAATTTGCATGCGTCATATATCAAGTCAACTCCATTGTTGCAATGCTTAAGGGAAATATAATGCTACAAGATATCAAACAACAATTACATGCCAAATGCTCTGTTGTATACATTTCTTGAACTTAGAATGTGAAATCTATATTCAGCCCTATAACATAAGGGTTATTTAGCCCAAAAGACTCATTCTTCATGCTATCAATCAAGCTTATAGTAATACTAGATAGCTTATTATCCAACCATCCTAGTGGGTACTCACGATAGATGATGTCAATAGCCATAAGAATTATCACATATGGAACCATTTTGAAAACCATTGGCCTGTGAACCTTCTAACATAATACCTCCCTTCATATCTTTAGTATCTCTGATAGAAGGTTCAACTGATTTGATTTGAACCTCTTGTCTAAAAAAGAAAAACCTGTATTGATTGGTGTTTTGAGAAATTTGTGATTTTGAAAGTGCAACAGAAGCATTTTAGTCCAAATTGTCACTGATTATCCTAGATAAGTTATTAGCTAGTGGCATTGTCTCATTCCATTATTTTGTGAGAGGTATGAATGATTCCAAAATATTTGAATATGATGATTTGTGTAAAAAGAATCCTTCTTAGAAAAATATGCAACCATTCATTATAAAATTGAATAACTTTAAATCCCTCATGAGCTTTAGAATTAATCTTCAATATTTTTTTTAAATTAATTGTGTGAGTCATTTGTTTGTTCAAAATTTTTGGAATCTTTCGGCATCCCCTTTCCGCAAAGAGAGGTTGGAAATGCACTTGCCTTTACATCCAGTTGGCCAAATCCAAGATACAACAAAGCAAGGGCTTTAGGACTATTATTCCCGGCATAAGTCTTCGAGTCTTCACTTGCTCGGTACTTGTCTCTTTTTTCTTTTTTGTTCTTTCTTCTTTCTTTTTCTTTGGCGTCTTCTCGAAAATCTAGCAGCCTCCCGACGTCTTCTCGAAAATTCGGCAACCTCCCGACATCCTCTCTCCGCAAAGAGAGGTTGGGAAGGCACTTGCCTTTCAATCCGTCTAGCCAAATCAAATATACGACGGCGCAAGGGCTTCGAGACGTTTATTCCTGGCACAAGTCTTTGGGTCTTCAATTGCTCTCTCTCTCTCTCTCTCACACACACACACACACATTTACTTTTTTCTCTATTATTTACAAACACTCCACTATTAAAATCATATACTTACAGGCAGTTGTAGGGATACTGGTTGGTTCGGCCTGTCGAAAGTAGGAGACTGTGTCAAAGTGCAACTGAGGGTGTCTTGTAGCCTGGGGGTTCCTTGCATGTGGTATCGAGAGAATGGGAGAGGGAGGTTGGGTTGGATATTTGGCCGATTGGGAGTTTCGACCAAAGGAATCGAGCGAAGGAGGAGGATCGGGTCGGACGACGGAGTCGATTGGGGTCCTGCATGCGTGAGAAGGCGGGAGGCTGGGTTGGGCAGCTTCCTTGCATGGGATAGAGTGAGATGGGCTTAGCTACGAATGAGGGAGATGCAAGGGAAGGAGTCGGGCTTGGGGGTCTTCCTTCGGCTTCCTGTGTTTGTGTGTGGCACAAAGATACGAGAGGGAGAGATCGAGCGAGAGGGGGAGCGGGCAATTCCGTGCATGAAAGTTGAATGGCGAGCGAGAGAGGGAGTTTTGTGAGCATTGGAGTACTTTTTTGTGATGTCAGTGGGTAGTTACGAGAGTTATGAGGGAGAGGGGGAATTTAATTTGAGGAGCGAATCATTGCGTCGTTTGGGAGTAAACTAGCGAGAGATGGGGTTAGTGGTCAACAAATATCTCAAAATAATAATAATAAATAAATAAAATTCAAATAAGTGAAAGAATTTATGTGAAAACTAGTTTTCAGCACTTGATTCAGCAATAGGCTTAGAACATGTTGCCACAAGGTAAGGAAATCCTGCAGCTTTCTTGCATTAATTAGCATGAGTACATAACATTTTCTATTTCATGGAAATTTGTGCTGCCCATGCATCAATGAAAAATTAAACTTCACTGATATCAATAACTCAAAATAATAATAATAATTAAAAATAAAAATAAAAACCTAATATTACTCATTGGCAACATAGGAAATGCCCTTTGCGTTCAATTTGAACTCATTTTCAGCATCATATATAGGTTATATATAAGTAACAAAATGCACTCTTGATCCATAAGCTCCGCAGATATTGAACTCTTATACGTAAGACACCATCTGAGCACATGCACGGAAAAGATCGCTTGCACAATACGTTAAAAACATGCTCATTTTATAGGTGAAGGAAATATATCTCTAGCAACATACCTTTTGATAATGGATCTCAGGTGAATCTCCAGGGTTTATGATTTTCTTCTTTAGAAGTAAGGCTTCAATTCTTGAACATAGACGAACTTCTGCAAGTGCATCTTTGAGAGCCTAAAGTTATCAAAACACTTGAATAATAGTCTAATTTGAAATTACTTAATTACTAAATTAACTCATTATCATCAAAATAGAGTAGAAGACATGTTGCATGCTAATATTTTCATAAATTAAAAATATACATCACAGATCAATAAAGCGGGTGCAAAGTTGCCAGTTATTAAAAGGCATAAACATAAACAAAGCATACATAACATTCTTCAGGTGTTCATACCCACTCAGGCCCACCCCTCTCCACCAAATATTAAAATGAAATATAAAACAAATCATGCAAAGATGCTCACACAAAGAAAATAAACGTGAATAAAAAATATATATCCTTTTGATAAATACATTCCAAATATCATCAAGACACTTTCAAGTGTGCTGAGGTATTACTCTTGCAATGCTGATGTTAAATCTTCAGCCCAAGCATCATCTAAAAAAAGATGAGCATGGCTAAATGAAGAGGAAGCTAAGGTGGGTTCCATTAATAATGCAAGATAACAAAAAAAAATCATATATCCTAGAAACGGTATGCCATAGTGTTATGACTGTTCTGTGAAAGTAACAATCGCTGAAGATATGACCTGCATAATAACTTACTGCAACAACCAAAAGGTACTCATATTTTTTCATACAAATCCGCAATACTTTTTTGAGTTATAGAGCAAAAGTTATGAACGCAGATGCTTGAAAGCACAAGAAAACTGAAACAATTTTCAGCTTTATCAGGCCTTCAACTAGATACGTGTAATTATCATTATCAATATAACAATTACAAAGGAACAACATTTCTTCGTTGAAAAGGGCAAGAAAACCCCAAAAAGTGCAGCTTATATTTCTTCATAGATAAGAGTAGGCATGCACCGACTCTTATTAGTCAAATATTATAAAAGATAGCTATCTAATTGCTATTAGTTTATTTTTCCTAATAATAAACATTAACTACTCAGCAAAAAATATCAAAAAATTACCATCAACATTCTAAGGCCAATGGTATGAATCACCCAAAAAATTAATTTTTAAAAGGACAAGCGGATTAATAATTTCTTCTCATTTCTCAATTCCATGATCTTTTCTATTGCTTCCCTTCATACTACGACCAGAAGTTGACATAGGACAAGAAAAGAGGACAATCCTTTTCACTTTAATGATAAGAAGAAATTTCTCTTATCTCTTATCAATTGATTTGGTATTAAATAAGATAGGAACATTTATTATTAGCTTTCTTCCAATGATGTGTTCATTATAAGTTCTTTTTAGTCTAATGGCAATAAATTTTCATTTACCAACTAGCTAATGAAATTGTAAATTTATTAGTCCTAAAATTTTGATCCTTATCTAATTTCTTTATATAAGTATAATTCCTAGAAGGTCTCCTTATTAAACAAAGGTGTTATTAATACTGCAAGCTATGGCACATGTAAAAACAACAATGATGATAATTTTCACATCTTCTATGGATGTAGTACAATTTCTCATATTTGGACGGAACTAAATAGCCTTTCTTGTACGTCTTCCCTTTTCAAGTACTTGGACTCTGCCTTTAATACTTGGAAAAATGTTTATATTGTAAAATGCTTTCAGAGAACATTGGGAGGTCTACTTTTTACATTCATATTAACCATTTCAAATGAAAGAAATGTCAAGTGTTTTCTTGACAAAAAAAAAAAAAAAGAATCCTTGACACTATCCTTCTTTTGAATTAACAATGCAAAATAAAATTTGTGCGGTAAAATCAACATCACCGGGAAGTGAATCACTTTCCTTCTTGTCCTCTTAAGCTTTTATTGAACTGATTCTTTTTCATTCCTAGAAATCTTTCCTTTATTTTAATGAGAATGGCTTGCTCAATTTTCAACAAAAAAAGTGTGAAAATCATATATTTCTATTTTAACAATCCTACATAAATAGTTTTGCATAATTAAAATAAGAAAAGTATATATAAAATAGTAAAATAACAAATGAAATAAAAATTATATGATAAAAAAACAACCCCCCCTAAATTGCCAAATTGTATGTGGCTAAGTTAGTCCTTGAATATCACATTTTTCTAATTTAGTCCCTTGGCTATACACAATTGATCCTAAATAATTCCTCAAGTAAAAATTGGTAGAAATTTGAATACAAAATTGATCCCAATAGAGTCCCCGAGAGATCATTTGGGATCAATTTTGTTTAGTGGAGGGACCAAATTGGAGAAATATAAAACTCTGGGAATAGATGGGGTCTATTTTGAAACATTTTCCCTTATAAGATAATATTAGAGAAATACTCAACTTATTAAAAGAATATTATAGAAGTAAGTTGAAGAGTCCATGAGAAAAATCCAAAACCTAAACTTAAAAATTAGCCAAACCTCCATAGTTAGAAGGGTTGCTTTCTCTGATGTTTTGTCCTGGCTTTCACTTGAAGAAATTTGCAATGATTTAATCCCACCAATGCTTTGCCTAAGTTTAGCTACTTCAGCATCTAGTCTGAAAACAAAGCACATAAATAGGAGGATCGTAAGAGTAGCTCTCATTCTTCTTTATATTTTCTGCAGAGAAGAGGGAGAAATAAGCCAAGGGAAGATCAGCTATAAAAATAGACAAATTATGCTTACCATGCAGTTTCAAATTTTTTTCCATCTCCACTACAACTGTTTATAACAGGAAAACTACATAAAAATATTATGAACTCTAAAATATAACATGACTAACTATCAGTCAAATAACAAAGCGTGTATGTCGAACATTAAAATGGAAAGGGCCATTTGGAAAGAACATGACACCTGTTTAGTTTAACTTTATTAATGAAAAAAATGTAAAATTAAAGCTCAGCTAACAAATAAATGTATCACAACCACAGCTCAAATAGTCCCTGCATCTAATCAACAATCTTCAACACAAAATAAGCATTGGAAAAAGCTTCCCTATTTTAAAAAATCCTGCATTTAGTAGCTTTCAAATTCATATGATGCACCCAAGGCAGCTATGAACAAAAGTTAACAGAGCATGTCATAGGAGAATTTACAAAAAATCTTTCATATCACAGAGTGATGTAGAACTACGTATGGATGCAATGCTTTTGGTTAAGATTTTGCACAACTCTTGATTAGAGAAATAACAAAGAAAACTTTTAGCAATTTAAAACAACGGAAGAAAACAAAAAAAGGGGTCACGCCCACATAGGCTAAGTCACATAACCAGAGATTTGAAACTTCAAAATAAATTAGAAAACAACATAATGCCAAAATAGCAGTTTTAATAAAAATCCCTAGTCAAACAATGAAATTAGCAAACACATGAATACACTCAAAAATCATACGTTTACTAAGCTTAGCAGAAGTAGGCGACGGTCGGCCTTTGTGACTATAATCAAACCACGAGAAAAGTTAGACTCAAGAAATAAGAGAAAAGGGATGTAGGAAACCTTCGTCAAGGATCGGCGGCGATCCTCCACTCGATAATCTCCAATTGTTCCTCGATGGCTTCCACCAAAGTATTCAAGATCCGCTCGATATAATCTTCCACCGTGTGGTAGACACTCGGGTTGACGTCGAAGAAGGTTGAATGCAAGATGCACACGAACCCGTACTCGTCGTAGGTGAGGCCGTATTCTATTTCTGGATCAACCATCTATGCGAGAAGTCGCTGTTTTGACTTTGGGAAGTGTTGGACGGCAAGGACAAGCTTTGTTGAAGATACTATGGTGATGGGGAGCCGGTGGGAACTAGTAGACAGCAAACTGCTTCCTCGATGCAGCCTTTGGAAGCTTTCAGGTTGAAGGAAAACCAAAGGGAAAGTTCAGGAAATTCTGGCAGCAACTTAGAGTGCAGGAGACTTATGAATCAGGTCAGCTTTAGGAGGATTTTGGAGAAATAAAACCAAGCAAAACAGTTGAGGGGCGGCTGGATTGTGGCCAGATTTTGGAATTATTTTCAATTTAAGAGGCTGAAATAAGTGGACGGAAATTGACGTGACTTCTTGTCAGAGAAGGACTTGAATTGTTTCCAAGAAAAGAAGGTAGCATTAGGAAACTAATTTAATTTTAATCCCATGAGGGGCCGGCGGCTTATGTAGGGAGGAGGGGATTTAATGTGGTAATTACTGCTTAATTAATAAATCAAGATTGGAAAGAAAAATCTCATCCTCTCTTAATTTAAAATTTAAATAAGAATTGATTTAATAGGTTTCCTAAAATAAGATTTATAATTTAAGTAACTATTTGAAATTCAAATTGATTTGAATTTATTCAAATAAGAGTTACCAATTTTATGAAATCTAATTTAGGAAAGAATTGAGAGCAAGTGGGAAGGAGGGAGAGGCCAAGGAGGAGCCGGCGGTGGAGATTGGCTGTGGGTGGGGCGGTGGATTAGTGTGGGAATTTGGGTGATGGGAAAAGGAATCGGGACGGGAGGCTAGGTGGCCGGCGGCAAGTGGGGGAAAATTTGTGGAGCTCGGTTGGGAAGAGACGATGGCTTGGAGATGGAGATGGTTTGGATGTAATGATGTCCGGTAGTGGTGGTGGAAGGGAAAAGGGTAAAGATAAAGAAGAAAACCACGAACCCGGCCGTCTCCAAGGTTGGTGGGTGATGCGCCGATTTCCCTCTCCAAGGGATCTCTCTCCGATCTCTCAAGCTCTCTAACGAACTCCAACAAGAAAACATAATTCTCAAATAATCATTCATTACCTTCGAAAAGCAAACAATGGGCTATAAATAGCCTTGTACATGAGATTCAAGAAATAGAAAGACGACAATGCCCTCGGGGCTTACATACGACATCCCTTACTAAAGGGGTCCAAAAGGAAATCACATAAAACAAATAAAATGATAACTGGAAATAAGAAAATATAATCATAACATAAATAAATAAAAAATACAATGACTCGATCGTGGCCGTAGATCGGCGGCCACACCTCTGATAAACCTTCCATTATCTAATGTCCCCATCACAGAGCCCACCTCTCTTAACCTGCCCTATTTCTAAAGAGGTTGTCTCTTCATGCAACCAAGTATCTTGATTTATCATCCTCGGTGATTGACTGAGCAAATAAGGTAATCCACACCTTGAATTAAAATGCAGCAGCAGCCAAGACCGATAGATTGCTTTTGATGCCAATTTTTTAAGAGGAAGATACTCAGGGTTGGGTGTATAGGGTGGAGCGTTACTTTGTTATCAATGGGCTGACGGACAGGGAGAAGCTCATGACGGCGGGGCTATGTTTGGAAGGAAAATCACTAGCATAGTTTCAATGGAAGGAGGCTAGATATCTGATATATTCATAGGAGGGATTTAAGGATTGTTTGTTAGAACATTTTTTAGCCATTCAGGAAGGAGACCTCAACGAGCATTTATATGCTTTAACTCAGGAGGGGATAGTCATGGAGTATCAGGAGAAATTTGAGTTGTTGTCGAGTAAGCTGAAGGAGGGTTTCTGAAGGGTAAGAAGGGAATTTCATGAAGGACCTTAAGGAAGTCATACAAGCAGAGCTCAGGATTTTGAGACCTAAAGGGCTGAGGGAGACGATGGAGCTAGCTCAGAGGGTGGAAGAAAAATATTTATCAAAGGGAGAAGGCCAGTCGAAACAACACCATGGAAGGGACTTACAAGAGTACCTCTACGAAATTGGCACCGAAGACCCAGATGGTGTTGTTCCAGAGGGAAGTGCCGAAGGGGAAGGGCACTAGAGTTTGTCCTAGTGGCAATTTCAAGCGCCTCACGGATGCAAAGGTGTAGGATAGGTGGGCAAAAGGGTTATGCTTTATGTGTGATGAGAGATTTACACTGACACATAGGTGCAAGGATTAAGCCCTTCAGGTTTTGATGGTCTGAGAGGGAGAGGAAGCGGGGACGAGCTGGAGCAGGACGTAGAGGAAACATTACAATTACATTTAGATGTGGCAAAGGTGTCCCTAAACTTTGTGGTGGGATTCACTCCAAATCACATCATGAAAGTGAGGGGGCAAATCGAGAAACAACAAGTGGTGATTTTGGTGGACAGTGGGACTACACATAACTTCATCTCGAATTGAGTCGTGGATTGATTGAGGTTGTAATTGGTGGAGATAGAAGAATGTGGGTGATGATGGGGACGGGTAAGATAGAGAGGAGTCGGGAATATGTAAAGGGGTGGGGATGACTTTGCAGGATATTCAAGTGGTGGAAGACTTCCTTCCACTGGACGTGGGAAATATAGATGTGATTCTAGAGATGAAGTTTCCTGACCATGGAGGTTCAGGTAGAGGAAAAGAAGGTAGTGCTGCGAGGGAATGCTATTTTATGCAAAACCATGATTTCACTTAAAACCATGCTCAGGAAAATCCAGGGTGAGGGCCTGGGGTACTTGGTGGAGTTACAGAGCATAGAGGGGGTCCAGGAGCAGGAGACAGGGGAAATCAAATTGGGGGTCCAACAGATTCTACAACAATTTCAGGCAACCTATCGGGTTACCACTAGCACTAGAACATGAGCACGCCATTACCCTAAAGGAGGGGACATATACTATAGGGGTCAGATCATATCATTATCCCCAAGTTCAGAAATATGAGATAGAGAGGCTGATCAAGGAGATGCTTGAAGCAGGGATCATTAGATCTACTATGAGCCATTTCTCTAGTCAAGTTCGGCTGGTGAATAAGAAGGATGACAATTGGAGGTTTTGTGTAGATTACATGGCTCTAAACAAGGAAACGGTGCTAGATATGTTTCCTATTCCAGTGATTGATAAACTCTTGGATAAGTTATTTGGAGAAGTAATCTTCTTCAAGATTGATTTGAAGTCGAAATATGATCAAATAAGGATGAAGGTAGCTGAGGTGCACAAGACGGCCTTTAAGACACATAAGAGGCACTACGAGTTCCTAGTGATGCCCTTCGGTCTTACCAAGGCCCCTGCCACCTTATAGTCCCTCATGAACTGAGTGTTCCAGTCGTATCTCAGAAGATTTATCTTGATATTATTTGATGACATCTTGATATATAGCATGACAGAAACATAACGTTGGGAACACTTGAAAACAGTACTAGATACCTTGAGGGACCATAAATTGTTTGTCAATTGGAAAAAGTGCTCGTTTGGCCAATCATGGGTAGAGTATTTAGGACATTTGATGTTCAGAAAGAGGGTGTCAACTGACCAGTCCAAGGTTTAGTCCATGGTGGACTAGCCTCTTCCTAAGAACTGGAAGGAGTTGCGCGGGTTCTTAAGGCTCACCGATTACTACATAAATTTTATGAAGGGATACGCCGCCATTGTAAGACCTTTGACAGAAGAATTGAAGAAGGATAGCTTCAAATGGGGGAGGGAGCGACACGAGCTTTACAAGAGCTAAAGAAAGCTATGATCAACGTATCAGTATTGACGCTCCTAAATTTTGGGAGACCATTTGTGGTGGAGATAGATGCGTCCGATTATGGGCTGGGAGCAATACTCATGCAAGGCCAAAGGCCTATTGCATATTTCAGCCAGGTGCTAGTAGCCAAAACAAGG